ATACTGTACCCATATGAAATGTTGATCATTTTTTTGAGACAGAGCTTTCTTTTGGTGGTGTTTAATCATCACTGGGGTTTTTAATTTTTGCTAAACAAACAAAAAAGACCATATATTTTGAAAAAAAAAAAAAAATTCTTAGTTTCCATTGCTACATTATACAAATAAGTAATTTTTCTTTTTTTTAATGTCTGGCACATTTTGCTGGATGAAAGCTAAGAAGAGTGGGAAATTTGACTGGAGAGTGAAAAACAGTTTTGCTTTTGTCTGCTGGTGATTGCCGGTGCTTGTAGTTGTTTTATTTTCTTATTTGGGGTCTTGCTAGCAGCTTTTATTTTTTTAATCACTTTTTCTGTCACTTTTTAAATTGCTTTTTTTTCCCCTTTGCTTTCCTTCCTTCAGTCTGCTGATTAAGGGGAGGGGTCATTTGGTGACAGGTGCTCTAGGTCCTATATAACTTTCTGTAGAGCTCACTCTGAGCTTGCCTGTATTTTGCTTGCTGGACCTTTGACAAAGTGGACACTTGATTAAGTGGCGTTAAAAAACCGTAGTGGAAAACAGGAGATAAAAGGATTCTACTAACTTGTAAGTGACTTCTGATATTTCCTATTAGTGATATTATAACTGGAATAATGTGTACTAGCAGGGTAGAAGGTTTTGTGCAGTGCACAGTGTGCAGCATGTATGCAACAATGGAGCAACAGCTCCAGGATGAATACCGCTGCAACAGATGTGAGCAGGTTGCCCTTATGGAAGCTCGCGTTAGAGATCTGGAGGAGCAAGTTGCAACACTGGGCAGAACTGACAACCTTGAAAGGAATCTTCTGCTCTCTGAGCAGGTAGCTAATGGGATTGATGTGGAGGATGGAGGGACCAGTCAGTATTATCAGGTGGGAAGATGGGTTACTGTAACGAGAGGGAGTGGTAGGGGCTCACAGAAAAAGAAGGCCAGTCCCGGTTTGAACACCCAAACAGATTTGCCAAGTTGGGTGAAGCTGTGGGGGTGGCAGCCCTGGATGTTACTGCTATCCCTAACAGCCGGGAGGGCAGACCATCTAGGAGGGGTGGTGAGGGTATTGCAGGAAGGCCTAGACAGCTGGTGATAATAGGGGATTCTATAATCAGAAGGACTAATAGAATAATTTGTCACCAGGATCGCCTCAACCAAATAGTTTGCTGTCTACCTGGTGCCAGGTTTGAGCATGTGGTGGACCGGGTTGATTATTACTGGGAGGGGCTTCGCATGACCCAGCTGTCTTGGTTCATGTTGGAGCCAATGACAGAATACATGAAGGGTAGAGGCTCCTTAAGAATCAGTTTAAAGAACTAGTCTGCAAGTTGAAGGGAAGGACCTCCAAGGTGACAATCTCTGAAATATTACCTGTGTCATGTGCAAAGACAGGGGGAGATTAGAGAACTAAATGCATGGCTAAATACATGATGTAAGAGAGAAGGATTTGGGTTTCTAGAGCACTGGGCTGACTTTTCGTTGGGATGCAACCTATATGTTAGAGATGGTTTGCACCTAAATGGAAGGGGGTCTGCTGTGCTGGGGAAGAGGTTTTTGGGAAGGCTGGACAAATATTTAAACTAGGATCAAGGGGAGAGGGAGAATTAGATTATATTGGAGCAGACAGATCAGTCAGGGGTCAGTCCTTATTGGTGGGTGGAATGGAGAAAGATGGGGGGAGGGTTATGGTAGGTGATAAGAAGGTGCCCATGTTACAAACAACCATTGGAATTGGTACCAATTGTATGAAAATAAAAAATATGCAAAATACGTGCGCACAAGGTGTCAATGAATTAAAGTGTTTGTTCACCAATGCCAGAAGTTTGCAAAGCAAAATAGGTGAGTTGGAAGCTTCGGTGCATGAAGAGAACTATGATTTAATTGGTATTGCTGAATCTTGGCTCCATTCTTCACATGACTGGGCCATTAATATTCCTGGCTATGTTCTCTTTTGGAGAGACAAGGTAAAAAAGAAAGGTGGTGGTGTCTGTCTCTATGTGAAGTGATCTCACAGTGAGTGTTAAAGAGGACCTAGTTGATGGAGAGTATAATGAGGCTGAAGCATTATGGGTGGAACGACACATAGGAGTGTGTACTTTGTAACTTTGTAATCATTGGAGTTTGTTATAGGCCACCCAGTGTTAATGAGGAGGTGGAGACTCAGCTCCTTGCACGGATCTTAACTACCTGAAAATTGACTGGAGTAATGGCACTGCAGGGACAGTTAAAGGGCAAAAATTTCTAAACCTACTACAGGGCAATTTTATGGTACAGTTCATAGAGGCCCCATCCAGGAATGATGCTCTGCTGGACCTGGTAATCTCAAACCATGCAGAGCTTATTACTAATGTCCATATAAAAGAACATCTGGGTAGCAGTGACCATAACCTGATTTCATTATTGTTAGCTGTAAACATCAAGCATACATGGGAAAATAAAAACACTCATTTTAAGATAGCTAATTTTCCAAGGCTGAGAGCTGCTCTCCAAGACTTAGACTGGGAAGGAATATTGGCATTGATGAACACAACACAAAAATGGGAGTTCTTCAAAAAGACTGTATGTGAACACACTGCAAAATATATTCACATGAGCAACAAGTTTAAAAGGCTATAAATCAAACCTATGTGGCTTACGGCAAAAGTTAAAAAAGCTATACATAATTAGAAAATACATTTTATTCAATATAAAAATGAAGGAACGCTATCATCATTTAAACATTACAAAGAATATAACAGAATATGTAAAAAGCAAATCAAGGCCACAAAAATTGAAAACGAATGACAGATTGCAAAGGATAGCAGGACAAACCCCCAACAATTCTTCAAATATATAAATAGTAAAAAGCTCAGATCCGAGCATGTAGCCCCTTTACAAAATAATCTAGAATGGGTGACTGGGGACAAAGAGAAGGTAAATTTATAAAATACCTTCTTCAGCTCTGTGTATACAAAGGAGCATGGGGGAGCTCTTGTCCATAATAGGTATGGTATTGACACAGTCCCAGATGATCCACATTGGCTCACAATTGATATGATCCAGAAATATTTAGACAGAATGAAGGTGAATCAAGCACCTTGACTGGATGGCATACACCCACGGATCCTTAAACAATTGAGCTCTGTCATTTCAAAACAATTGTTTCTAATCTTTAGGGACTGGCATAGTACCGCTGGATTGGCGTAAGGCCAATGTGGTGCCTATATTTAAAAATGGATCAAAATCTTTACCAAGTAATTATAGACTTGTTAGTTTAACTGCTATAGTTGGGAAGATACTGGAGAGTTTAACCACTTTCCTTCCTGCCCATTTACATAAACGGCTGGATGGAAGCAGTACAGGAGTGGATGGCTCTTTATAACTGTGCTCCCACATTCCTTGGGAGCATGTGGACACAGTGGAACACCGATCTCTGTACTGGACCTCTGTAAGAGGTCCCGATCATGTAATCACTGATTGGCCAATCAATGATCACATGAATGATCACTTCTGACATCATTGCTTACTATGAATGATCACAGAGGTCACATGGTACAAGGCTATTCACAACAGCCTTATACCATGTGACAAGCTGTGACCAATCACAGCTCTCACAATATTTCTCAATGTCTGCAAGAATGCAGCCAGAGAGAAAGAGAAATAATTGCTTTTACAGCCTTTATGGATGTAAAAGCAATCAGTGTAAAAAAAAAAAAAAAAATCTTCACCCCCACTATGGTGACACTGTATGGCTAGGATGACTGTATGTTAAAAAAAGAAAAAAAAACAACATAAATAATATAAATGTTTTCAAAAATTATAATTTTTGGTTACAATCTAGTTTGGGTTATTTTTTTTTTTTTACTAAAAAGATAGCTGAATACATGTTGGTCAAGATTTATGAAGAAATATTATTTATTTGCAAAACACTTTTTTTCAAAATGTTTGGACTTTTTCATTTATATAGCAAAAAAATAAAAATCCCAGTGGTGAATAAGTACCACCAAAATAAAGTTTTATCTGTGTCAAAAAATGCTAAAAACGTCATATGGGTACAGTGTTGCATGACCGCACAATTGTCATTCAAAGTGTGATAGCACTGAAAGCTGAAAATTGACCTGGACTGGAAGGGGGTGAAAGTGTCCGGACTTAAAGTGGTTAATAAGATAAAAAAATATTTTAAGCAACAGACAGCATGTATTCATGAAAGACAAGTTGTCAAAAAATCTGATTTCTTTTTATGAGGAGGTGAGCAAAACCTTGGACAGAGGGGTGGCGGTGGACGTGGTATATTTGGATTTTGCAAAAGTGTTTGACACAGTTCCCCACACACAGCTAATGTGTAAGGTAAAGTCTATGGGCTTGGAAAAATCAGTATGTAAATGGATAGGAAACTGGCTAAAAGATCGTATTCAGAGATTAGTGGTTAATGATCCATACTCTGAATGGTCTAAGGGTTGTCAGTGGTGTACCCCAAGGTTCATTGTTGGGACCCTTAATATTTAATATATGCAGTACATAAATGTTATAGGGTCTGAGATTAAAAATCCCATTTCAGTCTTTGCAGATGACACCAAGCTGTGCAGTGGAGTATCGTCCTTACAGGATGTCTTCAATTTACAAGCCGACCTCAATGCACTGTTTATTTGGGCAACTATGTGGCAAATGAGGTTTAATGTTGATAAATGTAAGGTTCTGCACTTGGGGGCTAAGAATATGCATGCGCCATACATACTGGGGGGGGGGTACAACTGGGGGAATCAGTGGTGGAGAAGGATCTGGGAGTTTTGGTAGATCACAAGCTTAATAATGGCATGCAATGCCAAGCTGCGGTTTCTAAAGCGAGCAAAATCCTCTCTTGAATTAACCACCTCCCGCCCGCCATATAGTGCAATGACAGGCGCAAGGTGGTTCTCTCATTCTAGGACGACGTTGTCCCATTCTAACCGCACATGCACGGCTCTGGGAGCACGGACACAGCAGATCACCGATCAACAGAAAGAGCCGTAGATGTCGGCTCGGTCATGTGATCAGCTGTGTCCAATCACAGCTGATCACATATAAACAGGGAAATGCCAGTAATCAGCATTCCTTGCAGGGGACATATACACTGATCATCAGAGCACTGATGATCAGTGTGCCCTGATGATCTGTGTAGCCCCAGCAGTGCCACCTGTCCATGTCCATCAGTGCCAGCTGTCAGTGCTCATCCATGCCACCTGCCAGTGCCCATCAGTGCCATATCAATGCCACATATCAGTGCCTACCAGTGCACATCAATGCCACATATCAGTGCCCATCTGAGCTGCCTTTCAGTGTCACCCATCAGTGCCAGTCAGTGCCACCTATCAGTGCTGCCAGTCAGTGCCACCTATCAGTGCTGCCAGTCAGTGCCACCTATCAGTGCCGCCTAACAGTGCCAGTCATTGCCACCTAACAGTGCCAGTCAGTGCTGCCTATCAGTGTCAGTCAGTGCCACCTATCAGTGCCATATGAGTGCTGCTTTTCAGTGCCCATCAGTGATGCCTGTCAATGCCCATCAGTTCAACCTACCAGTGCCTCCTCATCAGTGCCCCCCATCAGTGCCACCTATCAGTGTCCATCAGTGCAGCCTATCAGTGCCCATCACTACAGCCTCATTAGCGCATATTAGTGAAGGAGAAAAAATCACTTATTTACAAACTTTTATAACAAAAACTAAGAAAAAAAATTTTTTTTCCAAAATTTTCAGTGGTTTTTGGTTAGTTTAAAAAAAAAAAAAACCCAGAGGTGATTAAATACCACCAAAAGAAAGCTCTATCTGTCGCAAAAAAGTGATAAATATTTCATATGGGTACAGTGTTGCATGACCGTGCAATTGTCATTCAAAATGTGACAGCCCTGAAAGCTGGAAATTGGCCTGGGCAGGTAGGGGGTATAAGTGTCCTGTAGGCAAGTGGTTAAAAGAGGTATAGACTCCAGAGAGAGAGAGATATCATATTACCCCTATACAAATCATTAGTAATACCTCATCTAGAATATGCAGTTCAGTTTTGGGCACTAATTCACAAAAAGAACATTGGGGAACTGGAGAAAGTGCAGAGAAGGGCAACCAAACTGATACGAGGCATGGAGGAGCTCAGCTATGAGGAAAGATTAGAGGAACTGAATTTATTCTCTCTTGAGAAGAGGAGATTAAGGAGGGATATGAACACCATGTATAAATACATCAGTGGTTCATATAGTGAACTCGGTGTAGAGTTATTCACCCTGAGGTCATCACAGAGGACAAGGGGGCACTCTTTACGTCTGGAGGAAAAGAAATTTAATCTCAAAACATGGAAAGGTTTCTTCACAGAAAGAGCTGTGAAAATGTGGAATAGACTCCCTCAAGAGTTGGTTCTGGTCAGCTCCGTGGATTGCTTTAAAAAAGGCCTGGATTCTTTCCTAGATACACAGAATATAACTGGATTCTAAAATTTATAGGTAAAGTTGATCCAGGGAATATCCAATTGTCACTCGAGGGATCAGGAAGGAATTTTTTCCCCTGCAGAAGCAAATTGGATAATGGTTTGCTGAGTTTTTTTTGCCTTCCTCTGGATCAATTGTGGGTATAGGATTATAACTTTTATTTTTGGTTGAACTGGGTGGACTTTTGTCTTTTTTCAGCCAGACTATGTAACTATATGTGCCCTACTGAGTCTGCACTGATTGGCACTGATAGGTTGCACTGATGGGCACTGATGAGGCAGCACTGATGGGCACTGATAAGCTGCACTAATAGGCATGATGAGTAGACACTGATTAGACTGCACTAATAAGGTGGCACTGGTATATGGCACTGATGGGCAGAGGAGTCCCTAGGGTTGGTGTCACCTGGTGCAATAACACTTGGTGACACCCCCTCCGACGATCCCCGCAGACTGGATCAGATCTGTGGATTGAGCATAATGGATCGGACTCTGATCTATTATGCTCAATCTGCAGATCTGATCCATCCTGCGGGAATCGTTGGCTTTCTTTACAACTTACCTTTTCTTGGAGTGGGTCCCGTGTAGCGGCAAGATGTGTCATGTAGATATGTCCTCCCTGAAGCAACTGCGCATGTCCCGGTTTCAGGCGCGATCAATCGATGATAGAACTACTGTATCCAACCATGTACCTTTGGTGAAGTAACCCCTTCCATCCCAATTTGCTTCAGGGGGGACATATCTAAATGGGAGACACATCTTGTCGCTACAACGTCCCCCCCATGTCACTGACCCCCCCACATGTCACTGTCCTCCCCATGTCGCTCCCCCCCCCATGTCACTGTCCTCCCCACATGTGTCTGTACTCCCCATGTCACTCCCACCCCCCCATGTAGCTATCCTCTCTCCGATCCATTATGCTCCCAAATAATCAGCGGTGCAGCCTAAAAGGGGTTAACTGTGGCAGCTGTATGCTACAGTTGGTGATCGGTGATTGGCTTCTTATGTCTGAAACCGGGACATGTGCAGTTGCTTCAGGGGGGACATATCTACATGGGAGACACATCTTGCCGCCCTGCAGGATCGTCGGCATGAAACCTATACGGGGTGACACCGGACCCGCTCCAAGAAAAGGTAAGTTGTAAAGAAAGCCGACGATCCCCGCAGAATGGATCCGATCCATCCTGTGGGGATAGTCGGCTTGCTTTACAATTTACCTTTTTGTGGAGAGGGTCCGATGTCACCCTGTGCGGTCAGTGTCACCCACCCGGTGTGGACCGCACCCCCCGCACCTGCCTCGGAACACCACTGCTGATGGGCATTGATATGCTGCACTGAATGGCACTGATGGGGCTGCCCTGATTGTCAGCGTATACCGTGTACTGACAGTTTTGCTGGTAATCGTCTTTCCTTTATTCACACAGACACAGCGTGTGAGGAAAGGACTGCCTATAAACAGCAGGTCTGTTTACATGTGATCAGGACATGTGATTGGACACAGCTGATCATATGGTAAAGGGCCACTACGATTGGTCCTTTGCCTCAATCTGTGATCAGCTCCATCCAAGGAACACAGCAATCACAGAGCACGCCCAGTGCATGCTGGGTATATAACCATATTCCCTTCACAAACATTCCTGGAAGTACGGCTCATCAATGGAGGGTACTGTAGTGACTACCAGCTGGGACTGGAAACATCATAGGCAAACGTACATATTTGCCAGCACACCCCGGATCTTGATATGGTCCAAAAAGGTTTTTATTCGAAAAAGATCCCAAAGAAAAGTGCAATGTGTCAGCTCCAGATGCAATTTTATTCAAACTTTTATATCATAAAATACCAAAATGAGGTGGCTTTTAATGATATGAGAGTCTGAACAAAACTGAGTCTGAACTTTATATATTCAGCTTTTGGTGTTTTCTTTCTTGCACATCCGGCTTTTTATTGCTGTCTGTGTTATATGCAGAGATTTGCTTCCAGTTCTGGTGACCACACTGGAAGTGAGAAGGTCTTCCCAGTGGAGAGACAGATGGCAATAAAACAGAAAAAGGAACCCAGCAAATTTGAAATAAAAAAAAAAAACATCTTGCTGCAGTACTCACCTTTCATCTGGAACTGTCTCTAGTAGTAATTGTTTTTGTCACAAAATGTCCTCAGTCTTTTAGTTTAGCCACTTCACCTCTGACACGTTCACCCCGCTATGACAGATACATTTTTACATTTCTCCTATGGACTTGTTTATTCGGCAATAACTAAATAAAATGTCATTACTAAAGATCACAGGTAATACATATATCATATTTTTTAAGGACGAACAAAGCTTTCTTTTCATGATATTGTTCTGAAATATTTTTTTCTCACAATTGTTAGACAATAAAACACAAAAAGTTTATTTGAGCAGTGTTAGGTTAAAAATAAATGGTGTTAATGAACATAAAATGTATGCATTTTATTCCATAATTTGTTCTGTTGAAAATAATACTAACATTATGATTCTGGTACAAAGCAATGCAAAGTTATTTACAAATGAATTAAAGTGGTTGTTTTTTCAGTGGTGCACTTTTTTAAAATGGGAAATGTGTAAGCAGAATGAAAACAAATAATGTTTAAATATTAATAGTGAATAGAATAGAAAACCAAATAAAAAAAAAAATCAGCAGGAAAAGAATAGTTGAAAAGAAAAGGAGACTAAGGAGTTTATTAGGGCTGATTAGAGTAAATTAAGGGGTTAGTAGGGAGTTAAACAGATGAATGTTTTGATTTAAAAAAAACAAACAAACAAGAAACCCTCTGTATTTAACTTGTCTGTTGTTTTAACTGACATCAGATCTGCATCCTTCATCTCTTTGATCTGCAGATGAATGAACAGAAAGATTCAAATGTAACAATATGCTACTTTGTATCTTTGCAGCCTGGATCAGTGTTGTTTGGGATTCAGACTGCTTTTTTGACAACTAGAGCTGCCAGCTTATTCTCTGAGTATACAGTAATTTGATTAATCACAGCCGACAATTACGGCATACTGGGAGGGGGTCCCAGAACCAGGGCAGAGCGAATGGACATGCTACGCACATCCTGTGTACAATGATGATGTTTTTTGGGGCGTGCTCCACACGCCCAAAGTCTGTAACTAGCTAAATTATACTTTTCATTTATCCCACTCCTGAAATCAGGCTCTCATGGATGCTACATTTGAGACAGTGTCATCACATAGTCTGGGCTAGGGTTGCCATCTCATCCCTTTAAAACTGAACACATATTAATTACACAGGTTCTGTGGCTGATTAAGGTGGCAATTAAACTCACCTAGTGCCTTATCTGCATTAAATTAGCCCCAGAACCTGTGTAATTCATATGTATTTAGTTTTAAAGGGATGAGGTGCAACCCTAGTCTGGGCTAAAAGCTCTACTTCACTGAACAGTGTTTGTACACCATTAGGAGAGTGCCATTCAGTTAGTCTTTAGTGCTGCAGTAAATGGCACTCAACTAATTATATGCAAGCTCAATTCATAGCAGCAGTAAGGACCAGGAGATGGGTGTCAGGTAGCCATGTGATCACTTCCATTAAGTACAAACCAATGGGCTCACTTAATTTGACCCCTCCCCAGCAGCACATCTAATCTTTTGCTCCCCTTCCCTCCACTTGATATGTCCATTGGGCGTGCCTCAGAGTTGGGAAATTAGGGTTGCAGGGATGAAATTCAGACAGTGTTGACAGGGGAACCCCCCTGCCGATCCGCAGTAATTATTGCTAGCAGGTATAACAGCCGCTAACGATAATCGTATGTAAAATCCAGCAGGCAGGTTGAATCAAGAATGATCAATTGATCAACTTGGGTACATTCAGCCTGCCCATACATGGTTTGAAATCTCAGCCCCTTCCTGCTGAACCAGCCGAGATTCGAACTCTCTATGGCTGGCCTAAGTGTAGCTATTGCTTCACCCTGCATGGACAAATCATAGGTTCATGTTAAAGCGGAGTTCCAGTCAGTTTTGTGTTTATTAAGTCAGCAGCTATAAAAACTGTAGCTGCTGACTT